ATTTAAAAATACTTGTTTCAGCCATTTCCGAATTCTTTTCTTATAACTTTAAAATTATAATGACAACAACAAGCATGTTCTTAAAAAGTAAAAAAAAATATTGAATTTAAATATAGAGCGATCAATTAAAAAGTAAAATGTAAAATGAGTGGCTCTGGCGATATCAATGGAAGATCGCTTTCTTAGAAACGCGAATGGCTAAGCGAGACGTCAAATATCGCGCGACAGCGGGACTGGCCACCATTGGAAGTAAAAGGCTAGCAACACACTATACGAGTAAGCAAGGCAAATAATATCAACTATTTATATAAATTTAAATTATATAAATATTTACTGAGATTAAATCTTACAATTCAATAATATAACTGTAACTTCGTGTTAAAAATCAGTTGAAGTAAGTGCTATTTCATATAAGAACTTACACCTACAAGGTTACAAATGAATAATAAAAAGGCGTTTCTCATACAGATATTTACTTAATGTTAGATCCAAAGACAGATATTTATTGTTATGGTTATCTGTCGTATATTTTTTCTATCGCTGCGTATCGCTTGCAGTGTGCGGCGGGCCGAGGTGGGCCAGATGCGGCGGACAGGTGCTAGCGATCAATTAACAGGAGCGATGCGGCCGCGCGTGCCCGCCGCACGCCGCACGCCTGCCCTTACTACATGGTACACGACATAAGAATAAGCGGTGACCTACCACTACTAAAACTTAAAATACAGAATTAAAAAAACCAATCATCATCAACAAGTCATTTTATCTACACTAATATTATAAAGAGGAAAGATTTGCATTTTGTATGTATTGACAAAAATTACCTACTGGATCGATTTGAACAAATTTTTCACCATTAAAAAGCTACGTTATCGTTGAGTAACATAGCCTACACTTATTATGTCATATAAAATATTTAGGACAATTTAGAAAAGCATAGAAAATATATTGTGGTTGTTACATAGTCGTGTTTCCTGTCATTAATTGAGTTACATAAAAACAGGAACTAAGTAATTCTATCGATTTAATTTAATAAAAAACTGGTTTTATAATTCACATATAAAACTACTTTCTTGAATTCCACTCATCTGATTCCCATCCGATAAACATTCTATGTTAATAAGCGTTTAATTTGTACCATACAACGGGGTAGACGTTCCCTTAGACTCAATCAGTCCCGCGGCCGCGATGTTCCGATCGTATCGATTGCAGAGCTACAGCGACACAAGCGCTCACTACTGCCACCTGCCAGATGCCAAGTGCACTTTAGTGCACTTTTTTTGTTATCATTCGCCTTGATTAATCGATCCAGGCTTGTTATATTCATGCACTTTAAGAGCATTAAAAACTATCATAGCTTAACGATGGTACAAGACTTTATTTTTTGATATAATTGTGTTTAAAATTCGAACAAAGATAGACTAGAGCAAAATCTAACCAACTCACACCTTATTATGTAGAAATCAATCCTCTAACGTGTTGTTACTGCCGACCTCGAAACTTTAATAAAGTATTGTAGCGCAACACAATGTGCCTATCATTCGCAACAACAAAGCTAACAGATATTTTTAAGAACAATAGCACAATACCGTTCCCAGCGCGCGCCACCTGGCGGCTCCCACCGACACCAAATTTATATCAATTCTAATAACTCGATCTTATGAAATGCATGTGATAGTAAGGCTGTTCTATTTTCATCATTGGCGCATAGATATGTCCGTTACATATTTTGTTACAATAGATTCTAAAAAAAATAGATAGACTCTTTCCGATTCGATTCATATGAAATGCCAGTTATATTCAAGATAAAATTGACCTTTTGTTCATCGATTAGTAACTATTGAAGTAGCTTTAGGTGTGCTGTACACAGAATGTTATACTGTACAGAAGCTGTCCGTGTACAAGAGCCCTTACTTTAAAGGTACAGAAATCGCGGTTCATTCAACGCGACTCTGACGCAACTCTTCTCCGAACTTTACTCAACTCATGCACCTCTCATGTGTAATTACGTTACTTACATAATCTTACATAATGCCACATCATTGCCAATTATATCTTTTTATTTTTCAATAACCAGAATGACTGGAAAATATGTGGCATTTAAACAAAATCGTTTTCACATTACGTTCCAAATTATAACATAAATAGGCTCCACATGACATACATTTGATGTTACATTCAGCGGACAAAAGACCGCAAAATTGAATTTATTATCTGTAACCAACGAATCCGCAAGTTAACAATTAATTCAGAATATAAGTTTGTTAATCTTGAAGAAATGGCACCTTACCTCCGCAATCTAGTCGGATCGCGTCGTCTTCCAAGACCACGAGATGTTTTACTACCTGAAAAAAGATCATAATCTTACTTCTTAGTCTTACTAGTTAATACAAAAAATGTAAATTTAGACAGATGCATATTTTTAAAAGGTATCTCCTAAATTGATGAATAAATATAGATTACGATTCCCGTGTGATACATTAGTTTTGTTTTTCTAAAATTCTACAATAGTTCAAAGTATGCAAAAAACCCTTATCAGGTGCTCGAATACTCAATGGGTTACTCATCACGAGAACCATATTCGATATAAATTTAATTGATACCTTTCTATGTCTTGTTAACTGTACCAAGACCGCGATGGGTTCGATTACCCGATTAACAGTTATTACGTATCGACCTGATGTTTAACGTTATATGACGATACAGATAATCCGAGATCACGTGACGCGTGTGGTCACCGTCGTCAAAGCATGCACATGCATGTCACACGCCACACCACTATGGTTAATATCGATTTCATAAAAATTAGGTACAAAAGGTGGTAGAGATTAACTTCCACGTTAGAAGAGCGTAATATGTTTTAGAAATCGCTGAATTTTATATTTCGCAATCGTAATTTGTTTATGTTTTGTATTTTTAAAACACGATTTATAAAAAAATGAAATCAAAACGGTGGAATTGTGAACTTTCTCTGTGAAAAAATATTTTATGACGTTGAAAACAATAACGAACAAAATTTCTCCACACTTATGCGCCCAGTGATTTAATACAAATACGATACACAACGGAGCCTGTAGGGAAACCATTATTTATTTCTGTTAAATCAGACATAATTTCATTTCAGGTTACTCAAGCACAACGCTTACACATAAAAAGTTTCCCCTTAATCTGGGCAAGGCAGTTCAAAATCAGCAGTGCATTGTTTTACGTCGGTCATTATCCATAAAAAAATCAAATACAACTTTTACTTTCTTAACAATTACATGTAGACATTGCATGAAACTGCAACTTTGTATTTTTTATGTACGTTACAACAATCACATGGTCACCGTAGTCCCGAACTGTGCGGCGTGTCGCTGTGCTTTGCGAAACGGTTTCACTTTCATTGCCCACCTGGCCCGCCCGAGCCCGTCCGGTGGCATTTTTTTCGCTCAATGGAACTGCACCCATAATCGATTTCATCGCAAAATGGTACAGGTGTGTTGCGTCACTACTCACCAGAGATAAACAAATGAATTATTGCGTTAGCACACAAAATAGCAATCAAATTAATGTCAGCTTATCTGTTAACTGAAAACGAAGGCGCGGCCATTGACCCCCGTCAATTTTTATTGCTAATTTATTTGACCACGAGAATATTGATGAAGTCCATTTCTAATGGGATTGCTAATTTTATCTTCATCGTATCTGACGATCTAAGATGAATATAAAAACGGTTTCGCGAATAAAATGAATAAATTTGAGTAAATTATTCTGTGACTCACATTGACCGCGAATTTTTCCAGTGAAAGTATCATCACCAGTGTTGTCACGCCGATCTGCTTACTATCCCTAGAACTCAAATTCTGAATGAATTTGTTTCTAGTAGTTTCGTAGTTTTTGTATGATAATTTCTCATATAAATATTTACTGACAATATTTTTCTGTTTAATTTTAATATACATTCTTTGACAAGCGTGAAAATTAAACATATTGTAACCATCGTAATGTTTACGCTAATTTAATTTTCGCAAGATATGAGCACATAACTTTTAAAGATATAACACGACACTGCTAATCGAAATACAACTATGTTTTAAAGTAATAAGAACAATATTTGCATGGATTAAAAATGCAAGATGTTGCCGTAAAAATCGATGTTAATTATCCGTAATGTTTTTTCATGTTATTAAAAGTTGTTAAACATTCGATAAAAGTTTAATCTCAAACAACATTTATTAAGTTAACAAAGTACGGCTGCGTTTTGTATTTACTGAGGAATCAAGATACTCGTTTTTGAATTAAAAAAACGTTCGTATCTAGAGAAAAATGTCTACGAATACGTACGAATTGTTACTTCGCTCTATATTCTTGCAATTTGTGCATTTTCATAGTTAACTAGTCGAACGAGAATTTTAATAGTAATGTATTCAGTTGAAAATGGCCGCGCTGAATTGCGACATTCGGCAATTACACAAATGAGTTAATTACACAGTATTGTACACATTGTAGCGTTATTTACTAACTGTACACATTGTACACAATAGTATTAGTGATTTAATATGGGATAATAAAACGAAATGCATGCATTGATAAACATTGTTCGATACAACTAATTTAATTTGCGTATAAGTCCATAATTTAATAACCATCTTAAGACTTTGTATTGTCATGTCGTTAATACAATCTTTGTACATTTATCGTTCATTCAAAGATGTAAGTACCATGCATCGCAGGATAGCGTATAAATCTGTCAGAGAAAGTCTTTAGCCGGATAGTTGTTGAGCAAAAAACGAGCGACTTTCAGCGTTGCGGGCCACTGCGCTCTGCACACAACGAGCTATATTGTTGAGAGTTGCGGCGAACAAGATGATTGCAAAACACAAGTGGAAGCTTCTAGAAATGCAAAATAAAACACACATCAAACTATTAATTAACTATAACTTTATACTTTGTCATCTTTGTATCAATGTTAGTTACATTAGTCTTTCCCAAATGGGTGATAACGTATCCTGTAGGGCTTTGAAGCCTAGAGAAGAGCGTTAAAGGGCATAAAAAAAATTAGAAGGCTCTGTTGGAATGCAATTAAGATTTAAAATATGAAACAGTTCGTTACAAAATAACTGATTTGTAAAGTGAGCGTTAGACGAAATAAATTTAAATGTTTTAACAAGAGTTCATTAGGAAGCAGTCAAGATTGTTACAGTGGGCTGTCACTTTAGGGACGATCACAAAGCAATGGTGCGTTTATATCATTTCAGGAAACAAGCCGCAGCGCACAGAGGGCGCTGTCAGCACAATGCAGCACTGCATCGCGATACCGGAGACACAATCGACAATATCAGTGGAATCCTGCTTTAATTTTAAAACTCGTAGAATCCTTTCAAAATTAAAGTGAATAATAATTAACTTTCATATAATTCAAACGACTGTTGAAGATTATTAACATAAGTATTGTTAGTGTCAATTATTAATTATTTAAAAAGGTAATTTGTATTATTACAACTGGCAGATTCAAACTGAAGACGTAGTCAGTACCAACCGCAAGACGAAAATTCAATTTAGTTATTGATTGAAGTTGCTTTAGCAAGTGTAATTGCTGAAACAATATAAATTTACGGTCAGCGATGACACGAGGGCATGCACTTAGCGGTCATCGACAAAACAATATATGACTTTCCAAGAACTTAGACAATGCAAATAAGAAACTTAACTCGATAGCAATAAAGTGTAAAATCTCGTGAATATACGTTGTTCCGTGTGGTCGAGCCCTGAGAAGAATTAGAGCAAAAAGAGCTGAGGCTACAAATATTTCAATAACTTTAACAGCCCATTTGGCCGAAGCCCGCGGGTGACGTAAAGGCGGTGATACACCGCAGCGATGCTATATTACAAATAGATTTCAATTTCACATGTACACCGAGAAGCAGAAAACAGTTCAAGAGCGTTAATACCCTTAAGTGTACTGTTCTCTTGCATTTTTATAATAATCATCACTTACAAGTTAACCAAACATTATTGCACTTGAAAAAACTAGTACAAAACTCTCCACTCTAGTGTATCCTCAGCCGATAAATGCCTCAGAATGACAGCACGTAACGCCCGGAGCGCACATTAGAGAAACTTCAAATAATTTCGGTACACGCAGACAATGTACTATTGTTTTATATACACGAGAGATATAAATAATAGCTATGGGAGACATTGGTTTGCCTCAAGGTTAAAAGTTACAAATATCGATTTTCTTCACACTTTCATACAAAATTAGACTAGGGGATTCTCAGGGAATTTGACAAATAGACTAATCTCCATCAATTCGACAAGTTGATGAGTTTAAAAATGCTGCGGTTATTCTATCCAGTGAAGCAGCAAGGGGCCAAGTTCACTGGCCACTGGAGTGTGGCGCCTTGGAGGTGATGCGGGGGAGGGGAAGGTAATTAGCAAATCATTGCGTCACGTCGTCACAAAGCAAAGGAGGCAGGCATGACGCTCGTGGGAGTTACGACGATCCCGCTCCTCTGACTGCACTTCATTGATCTTTAGTTATTTAACTGGAATTTAATTGTAATATTTGGGCTTCAATATTTGTAACATGATTGTGAAATGTTCGGTTCTCTTTATTCAAGAGTTTTCCTCAATTCTAGAGGCCTTTAAACTGTTTAACACTAGATAGATATTTTTTTTATTAATACGAGAAAATTCCAAATAGCCAATGTTTGAATATTGAAATAACAAAGTGTAGGAAACATATTCATATGATCAATCAATTTAATGCAAATTATAGTTGTTTTTCAATATTGTTCTAATACTTTTAAATTTTAGAATCGTTTTTGTTTAACATGACATCATTTTTTGGATGGACTGTTTGTATAACTAAAATTATTTGTTCACAATATTTTATCAAAACAATTTTTAATGGTTTTAACGGTTAAGTGACTTTTTAAGGTAATATGAATGTCTAATCAAATTATTTTTATTACTCGTACAATGGAACTAACGATAGTATCAAGGTCTAATCTTGCACAAGATGTAAAACTCCATTTTGTTCTATTATAACAGCTCCACGCTCGTTACGTTGCGATGTCGTAAGCGCCATAAATGCTAATTTACATGCGAACACACCTTAAACTTTCTATGTCCGAAACTGAATGGTTATCTATCGATTCGGTTCAATGCTGCGTCCATTGCGAAACATGTATCAGTATAATGTCCTTGAATATAAGTGAGCTAGCAATGTATAGCGCGCGGGAGTAAACACCGCGCCGCAAACATCAGATATTTCGATACCTTTCACTGCCAATAACCACTGCCACTTGCCGGAGACGCGAACTTAGCGCCATCGGACGCAGCGCAAACCATAAGCGGA